ATGCGCGCCGCCTTATTTATTGCATTGTTTAATGCGTATAACAGTTGCGTTCTTAAATTGCCTGGGTGATAAGGGCTAGTGGACAGTTGCGCGGTTGAAGTTAAGTTTTTTCTGCAGAATCTTTCGGGCTATTGAAGCCCAAAGTAGCACATTAAAGCATTGTCAGAATCAATGATATCCAAATTTTTTAAGGGGAGGAGGGATGCACTTAGAACGGGCTGTCAAAGCTCAAAGTAACTACGCTTTTCTTCAAATATTGCTCCGAGGAGTGAAACAAGAAATTTGAACGTTCATAGTTGTGCTTAACTGAAATGGTGTAAGTTTTTATGAAAAATCATTCATAACTTATTTGCCAGAATCCCTTAACAGAAAGTGAAAGCAGATTTGGAATTGGCGCTTCAAGGCCATTTAAGGACATGTGTCTTGTTGTAGATGGCTGTGGTCACAAAGTAGCCTTTTCTTGTTAGTAATTAAGATTTCCCAATTGAATCAATTGGGAAATCTTGTATTGAATCTCTTTTCTAGAGATGAGAAACCTTCCGATACGGTAAGGTGGGACTCTCCAATTTCTTTGGACCCAGAGGATTTTGAGCCTGTTCACGAGGTAAGATTATATAAGTCGAAATAAATCCGTACTCCCGTTACCTGGATCCATATTTTTGAGTCCTCATGGAATGTGCTTGAGCTTAACGATTATTCGTGGATTCCGAGAGGACGTCTACAGGGCTCTGCATGATTGCGTGTGTTTGCGGCCATTGCACACGCAGGATGCCACAAGGCCTGGAAACGCCGTCCACCCTAAGTTAGGTGCCTTAAGCTTTTGGCAGCATACGATAGCAGGACTATTAAGCCAATGTCCAAGTCACTGCGCAAAATGTCGCTTCGAAAGCAATAGAATTGCTTCGGAATAGCGAAGAGGCACGAGGACCTTTAGGCGGCACGTCCCTTCTAGTAGTGCCCGCCCATCCGTGCTCGCCCATCCAGTCACCGCTCAAGGAACCCGCGATGCGGTTCTCCGAAATGGGGTTTGTCGGGGTTTACGGATTTTCGCTTTATACTCAGATTCAGGGACATAGAACGACAAATAATGGGAGTCAAAATCTGGGTGGACGGTGCCTTCAAACAGTTGAACAATCCGATGCTTTGCAACATCGCTCTAGGTAACTGGAAGCAGCCTAACACCTGGGCCGGTAGTAATCTACCCTACCTGGTGGCATCAAAGATGCCGGCAGGTAGGCACACATCGCGGGGAAGTTGCCATCATCGGCGGCAACTCGTGGAGTGATTGTAGGTTGTGATAATCTTATGTAACCTTAGTGTGCAATCATTTCGCACATCAGATTTTGATGGCGCACACAGCCGCAAAACTGCTATCTCGCGCGCGGCCGATCCCAAGTGCGTTTACTTCAAGTGCCACCCGTTAACCATTCGACCATTCGGTCAACCATTGCCGATTGCACCAGCAATAGGAGGAACGCACCGGTAATCGGCCGCCTGTAAGAGGGATCAATACATTGCGTGAGAGACTTTGACCTGAAAGAACAGCTGATTGATATGAGCGAGAGAGGAGCGAAATCGGTGTAAACGAGATTTGGAAGAGAATGCCAAAAAGGATAGTGTTCTTATGGTTCTAAAGTGTGACTAGACTTTTTCTCTGTAAGAAAATCGTCGTTTTAAAAAAGAAAAACTCATATGATGAGAAAAATGATAGTTTTTTGATAGAAAGTAGGGTTTTTGGTTTTTTCGCCTGACGTAAATTGTGTGGTATCGCCGCAATTCGCAAACTCACAGACGCCGTCGGCAAAGGTGCCACCACCTTGACGTGGTAGGGGCACGTCGAGATGCCGGCAGCTCCCTCTCTCAAAAGAGCACGCTATTTTCCGTGCTCTCTGACCTGCTGGCAGCTGCCATCTCGCGGATTTCGAAGAGCTGCCGGCAGGTTGCCGGCAACTGACATCGCGAAGTTGCCGGCAGCTCCTCTCACGCTTCCAGATATTTTCCTAAAGAGGGAGTTCTGGAACCGCAGACTTTTATGGAGATTTCTACAAAGTTGAGGCGGCATCTTTATCGAGAAAATTTTTGAAAAAAGGCATGGGACGGCCTGAATTCGGACTCTCGCTTTCTGGCCACCTCACGGAAAAAATGCCAGCGACCTGCCGACGAGACCTGCCGCCAGGTCGGGGGGATTACTACCGGCCCTGATGCAGGTGCCCATGGCTGTAAACTTACACAGGCTCTCGCGATCACGCAGAGCCCTATGCCTGTAACGGAATAGGAAGAAAATGAACATGTTTGAATTAGTTTGACACGTTTTCAAAATTATTTCCGGAAATCACTATGAATCTCCCATTTTCTGATCGGACTCTTTTTAACCGTTATAAACGAACGGCCTGTCAGGCAATGGGACGTCATGTTCATGATGGTAAAACAAGCCCGATCGGAGAGCGGAAGGTTGAAAAACTGCCCCGGTGAGATCTCACCATGTCAAGCATCCAGAACTCAGACAGTCGACGGCGTACCTCCGGAGCAGAAATGGCAGGGCCGCGGGGTCTGCCCAGCGGAGGTTTGCCACTCGCGCTCCGGAGCCTCCGATTTTGTGCTCTGGAGACCTCCCATTTTGTGCTCCGGAGACCTCCCATTTTGTGCTCCGGAGATGTCCCAAAGCTGGCGTACCTCCGGAGCGCAAATCTGTGCTCCGGGACTCTCCCAAATCTGCCGTACCTCCGGAGCAGAGATCTGCAAGCCCGCCGGAGGGGTCCCATCTGCCTTCTTGTGACGTCACCGTGACGTCACAGAAAGGGACCGCCCCCTCGCCCCGCCCTCAATGGTCAATTGGGCCCTCCGCAGCTCTGCCAGATTTCGACCCTCCGGAGCTACGGCAGCGATTGTCTGAGAAATGAGCCAAGCTGCTTAGCTATTTTTTAGCAAAGCAAGTACTTTCAGCATTAAATTTAAAAATGTCTTTTAAACTGTTTCCGCCACGCATTCAGCTACGAAAGAGCTCAAATAATGGCATGAAGTACCTCCCTGCCCCAAATGGATGATGCACCTTTGCGTTTGCTGTTCTACACAAATCTAATATGTTCTTTGCAAGGATGACTTCATCGCAATGTTAAAGTTCATCACTAAACTACCAAATTTTTGAGTCAGAGATAGGTGAATATTTATATAACCAAAGCGAACTACTTTGGTAGAGATGGGCTACCACGGTAAGAAACAGACTGTTGAACATGTGAATGTCAATTTTTTGACATGTGGCACGAGGTTGACATCACATTCTGTGACGTTGGAAGTACACGATAAAAAACTTATCCTTTTCTGAAGAAACGAGTCCATCTAACGGAAAGGCAAACTATAGCAATCTCCGTTCCATAAATCACGTTTTTATAGATACAGGGTGTTTCGAAAGTACCTGGCCTAAAGTACTTCCAATTCAAATTTTGACGCGCTTTTTGTTCTACTGTACTCATTAGGCCTAGATACCAATGAATATCAAATTAATTGTTTCAGAGAATATCAAATTTCTTTCGTGGTTCTTTGATTTTTTAATGGATTGAAACCAATCAATACAGCTTCACAAACCTCTTTCTTGAAACGATTCTTACGAAGAAGGAACCATGATTCACAGAAACCTGGTATATCATTCAAAAGTTCTTTCTTTAAGGCTTTTTACACGTGCTTTTATTTTCGTAGAAGTAAATTCATTTTGAAGTACCGTGCCTTGAAAGACAAGAGATCCACTTTCAGGATTTTTTCGCCAAGATATCCAACACCAAAATTTTTATATTTTATCTTCAATACCTCTACATGCGTGCAAATATTTTACTTATTTTATTTGAATGTTTTACCTACTTGTAGTAAAAATACGGAAAGTCATTATGTTTTCCGGCGTTGAAAAAAAAAGTAGAACAAATTACCCTAATTTCACGCGTACAAGGCGCACCTTTTTCGATTTTTCGACTAAGCCCCTCAGCCGCTTTAAATTATTTCGGAAAACGATCCTTATGGCGTACGATTCTCTTAAGCAATATACAGCAAGGCATAGAGTCCTTTCAGTGGCGTACCCAGGATTTCGGCTCGGGGGGGGGGGGCGACAAAAATTTTTTTTAAAGAAGGTGCGTGGCGTTATCCAAGCACTCCGAATAAATTTTTGGGGTGGTTCTCAAAACTTTTGCGGGTCTCTGACCCCTAAAATCTGGAAAAAGGGGCGTGGCGTCAGCCACGCCCCCGAAAAAATTTTTTTTACAAAGCTAATTTGAATTTTTAAAAATTTTTAAAAATTATTTTAATTATTTACAAAAATAAACAAGTCACTTGCACATTTTTATAACCCATATAAGTAACTTTCAAAAATTTCGCGACCCATTCTCGGGGGGGGGGGGCGCGCCCCCCCCCCCGCCCCCTCCCCTCGGTACGCCACTGGGTCCTTTGGTTGCGAAGTTCTTTGGCGTGTTTGGGCTGGTCGATTTTGGAAAAAAATCCCCCGCGCCTTGTACGCGTGAAATTAGGGTAGATAGCGCACTCTTTCGCCTCTCCAAGAAAGTGAAAAAATTGTTTACTTCCAAATTTTTTTGGGATATCTTGAGGCAAAAAATATTTTCCGCGGTTGACTCAGTGTTTTCTAGGTTTAGCGAACACGTATAGCAAAAATCGAGTAAGGATTCGCAGTTGAAGTAGTTGAGGCCAGAAACTTTTCAAACACCCTGTATGTATGATTTCAGCGCAAATCCAAGAATGCCACAACAGTAAGCCAAGCTAGTGCCTCACTTGCCAACAAACATAACGACAAAGTTGAATGGTACTCGACAGAAAATGCGAATGTCGAGCGGGAGTCGAAAGAAAATCAGACTCTAAAGTAAGTTATTGAGCCTCTATGAATAGATTTCAAATCTGAAATGTTACAGAGACGATCCTGGTAACGGCGCGACACCTACGGAACGGTCAAAGTAATGAATATGGTGATGTTAGTTGCTGCATATTGAGTATTTCCAATTTTACAGAGACGTACCAATCGTACCGAGTGATAGTGTGTTCTCAAATGCCCTCCAGCAGTATGGCTCCTTTACTGATACAAGGGGTATCCTGCACAGACCTCGCAGCAGATCGCCTTTCACAAAGCCAGGTACGATGTGCTTTTGAGAGATACTGCCGTATTGTTATTAATAGACAATAGGTAATCTCCTATAGTAATGTTGAGCGCTGGGAACGATATGGTGGCCGAACTTTTAAGTTACACGATTTATAAAAATGAGCAAGAGATTTGTTTATATACTGGACGGTTGAATACTAGGTCGTTTCGAAAGTAGTCTCGTTTCTTTGGATGAACGCCAGATTTCGTGGAAGAAAGATTTTGAAGAGATCTCGGTAATATTCGAAGCGCAATGCATCCTCTTTTCGATGGTTACTAAATCGTTGCAGCGCAGTCAATGAGCTCTCAAAGAATAAGAACTAGAAGTTCTATTACTAGAGGGGGATCTCAATAAAGGTAATACCAAGAGCAGGGAGGAATGTGAGAAGAAGATTCTTTACAAACAGAGTCAGCGGCGATCTAGATAAAATGATGAGAAAGGGTATGCTTCCTCTAAAATTGTCTCAGTTTAAAATGATTCTTGAGAACTATCTTCTTTCGCCATAGTTCCTTATGTGATTGTTAGGCCTTTCTAGTTTGTTGTGTTGATTTGTGTTGTTAACTAGACTTGATGTTCTGTTGAATGTAATATGCATAGGTTCCTACGCAATAAATAATAATAATAATAATAATAATAATAATAATAATAATAATAATAATAATAATAATAATAATAATAATAATAATAACCAAAATCTACGACCCATGCTTTTCGAGATGGTCAAGTTCCACCATTTTTTAAAATTTTTATAGCCCCTTTGAAGGATCTCAAGTAAAGATTGATAGGACAAACATTAGAGGATACGGTACAACTTCTTCCTCTTTTCCGTAGCTCTCCATAATATTTTGAAGATATTTTACTGAAACTACTAGAACCATCGTATTTTGGCAGGCCTACGTCAGCCATAATCGCATTGAATACCGATAGTTCTTCGGGATTTGAAACTTGCAAGATGGTACCATGATATAACACCAATTTTACAGAGTAAATGAGAGTTTAAGGATTCGAAATATCGACTTTCCAGTTTTTCGTGAGAAGCCTGGGGCGCATTCAAAAACATGAGAATGATGATTTTATCCTCAGTAACTCCATGAATCGGAAACAAAAAAGACCCATTAGAAAGAGGAGAAAATGCTGCTTTGAATAGCAACCACTGCTCTACCTTTGATTTTCTACGAGGTTTTATTTGACCAATTATGGAAATAGGTGGATCTGCCAAAATTTCATCAAAGAAGTATGACGAGTTATGGAAAGAAGAAAAGACTCTTTTGCATCCTCTAAGTTTTGCTCTATAAAATTGTGTTATTTGAGCCCCTTCGGAGGGATGATGTAAAAGTTTACAAATTGTGGAATTTGACCATCTCGAAGAGCATGGGTCGCAGATTTTGGAAAATTTTTGAGAGTTCGTTGACTGCGCTGCAACGACCTTATAACCATTAGAAAGAAGATCAAATGTTCATTGAGTGCTCTTAAAGTCTTCATTCCTCGATGACATTCATTTGATTAAAAACGACATTACTTTCAGAACAACTAGTAATTTTTGAATTTTTTCAAAGATAACTTAGCCTTGCAAAAAATTTTTTCCGAACGTGTGGCAGCGGCCATGCGGTTGATATGGTTTTGCAAAAATTTTGAGAAACATCCCGAAAAATATTTCAAAAGTGCGTGGCTAACGTCACACACCTAAACTCGAAAAAATCCCCCCATATCAAACAGCCCTTTGGACGAAATTTATGTCTTGGGGTTTAGATTTGGAATTTTGGGATTTGGATACTGGAATAGTGTGATTAATGTTATTGAGTACTTTGCAAGATGAGTGTTTCCTGACTTGAAGAGACGATTCAAGATGTAGATAGTGTCCTAAAAGTTTACACTGTGACTTTTCATATCTCTTTGCTCCAATTTTCGCCGATTTTCAGTTACCAATGCTCATGTGAAGATACCCTCTGATTCAACCGGACTAGCGGCTTGAAGGCGACCGCTCGCACGCGCGACGCAGCCTGCGTCTCCCTCGTGCCCCTGTTCTTTGACCATTCCCTAGCCTTCGAAGCCCCGCCTTCCAGCCGCCAATCTGTTGAATCAAAGGATAGATTTTTGAAAAGGGATCAAGCTATTGATGACTTTATTTGCCCCACATAAGAAATCAAACACTGAAATTCTTGTAAAAAACTCCTTGAAACTTGAACAAAGTCTTCATAAGAATAAAAGTAAAAATGGCTTGCACCGCAAGAAATCAATGCAAGGGCTTAGGCAGGCGCTATACTCTTCGAGGAGTATAGCATGGCGATGGGCGATCGCCAATCGCCACGACATGCGATCGCCAGTCGCTACGATTGGCGATTGCAAATCGTTGAAAATTCCCGGTATCGGCGACTGTGTCTATAAGTATTGACCGCTAACAAGTCACCACATGTCCAATCGATACGCATCCAACGTGGAGTCGCCAACATTGGCGATTGGCGATCGCCAATTTTCGGAGCATTTTGAGTACACGCGATTAAAAGCATTAGTCGTGAGGAAACGAGTCGTTAGTTCGCAGTTTACGAGATTTCCGCGAAGCGTTGTCGTAACCATTGACCAGTCCAAGAGAAAGCACCAGTCAGCACTCCTGGCGCAACGTTACTTTGACTCAATGCATCTGCGCCCCGCCCCCCCCCCCCCCCTATTCTCGCGCCGTGTCACTTCAGCACCGTAGTATTTTCAAGCCACAAAATTCGAGTCGGCGTGCCCTTCAAAGAAGCCGCCGTGCGAGGCTTGAGTCCTGACGTGTGGCCTGGTCGCGTTGCTACGATTACGATAGCGAAGCTTAGATTATCACATAGTACGATTACTGTGTGAGAAAGAGAATAAATGGCAAGAACTCGAATTTCCACCAATTTGAAGAAAGATTAAACAAAGTGCAACGCGCGTGATTGCTCCTGACATACCCTTTGATTCAACTGGATTGGCGGCGGGAAGGCGGGGCTTCGTGACCTAATCAAGGCTAGAGAATGATCAGAAAGCAAGTTAGCGAGAGACACGCATTCAACAAATGGGCGGCTGGAAGATGATCGCATCGCGGACGCGAGCGATCATCTTCCAGCCGCCCACTTGTTGAATCAAATGGTAGCGCATAAGTATTAGGTTGGTGCAAAAGTAATGGCCGACTTGCAAATTCTCACTTTGACGTGCTATAACTTTTTGAAGAATTCACATTTCGGAATGCGGTAAAAACTATCAGAAGCAGCAAACCTTCTGCAATGCAGCGCACATTTATTTATACTTATATCACGAACGGGCAGAAAAATATGGTTTGAAAAACAAAAAAGGTTCTTCTGCTAGAAGCAAGTAGCACAAAACACAGTAAAAAGAATTCGGACAAAAAGGTTTGCGAAAAAGAAAAAAGTTGAAATTTGAAACTTCTTACTTTTTTGAACATTTTTTAGTGTGCCTCGAAGTCCCGAATATAGAATTTTTTTGATTTTCTACGTACTGAACAGCTGGATGTTTTTGCAAAAACTGCTAATAGGATGCCCTAGCCGTACGCTTACCGAATTGAGCAAAGCTCCGGCGATTGACTTCTTTAGAGAAAATTATGGGTCATAAAATGACCGCAACAGCTACCTATGTTTAGGCCTCGATATCTCAGTCTGGATAACCTCAAAGATTACAGTCAAGTATGCATAATGTAGATAATTTCTATTGCATACAATAGCTAAATTTTCAAAGAAGAGCAATTGACAGCGCTTTAATTCTGGGCGAAAAAGTGGGTGCAATGAAATTCTGAATTTGGATGCGGTTATTTGAAGCTCAGTAACTTTATAACAGATGAGGATGGAAGCCTCTTTCAAACACCATTAGATAGAGCATGAGAAGAGCCTCTTGATGGTACACTACATCTATTTGAAGGAAGAAGTTTTGATCGAAAAAAGTTGCCCTGAAAAAGGCTTGGAAAATCGGCCATTATTTCTGCACCAATCTAATACTTGACCATGTTCATTCAGTACTACCTTACCTCCTTGAATTCAACAAAAAAGCCGACCTCAAATATATGCGCCCACTTTCTTAACCGCCACCTAGTCCTACGTTAGAAACTGAAATGACGATCTATCGTGCTTGAGCTAAGTCGGTTCTCAGGTCTATGGGAAGCAAATCCGGACAATCCGCACAACAGAGATCATGCAAACAAGTGGTACTACGCCCCACGATCTGTCAACGTGGATTGGCTCAGCGGGCAGGTAAAACACCTTCTGCATTTTGTCAGTTAAATATAATGTCACTGACTCAGCTCGCTTGGGGTGCCCATTGGGCCGTTCCGGCTGCTTCCGTTGGAGGAACTGATGGTTTCAGTGCAGTGCACTTCCCAACCATAGGAACATTCGCCAACATTCCAGACGATTACGACTAAGCGGCTTCCTTCACAGAAACTGCAAGATCAATATAATTTATATGTGCGTTTCTTCTCTCATCACTAAACCGAGCAGGATTTGCACATTTAGGCGCCCCATATTCCCTACGTCTAAAGTGAAATGTTACTTGCTACCCTTACTAATTTATTTCTCACTTACTGCATTGTACATCATCGTCCATCAAAATGGACGATTCTATGTGTTTCCTTGAATGCCTCTGATATGTGGCATACAGATAATCTCCATAAAGGTTCTCGACTTTCGCACTGTTTGCGTTTGTTGTTGTCTGTTGGAGCTCTTTTATAGTCCTTGGAAAATGTCATTGGTCGCACATTGCACTTCAAAGGAGTTCACGTCTTGCTATACTTACAACCTCTACTAATTTCTTCTGGAAGAGACGGGAGGGGTAGGTGGAGGGAGTAAAGGTAGAGGAAGGAGGGAACTCGAGGGTGAAAAAGGAAATGGGGAGCGGAGGGAAGCGGATGAGTGGCGACTGGCAGACCGGAGAGTTTCAGGCTATGAACTAAAAACTAGAACGCGCTCAGCGCATGGCGCAGGGGAAAGTAGAACATAATATTTGTGGTATGAATGTTAAAAAGAGGTTTCTGGTTTCTTTCCACTTATTCCAGATTCAAGCAACACACAAGGGGCTACTGAAAGGTCAACGGAGACTGTGAATTTTTTCTGGAATTACAACGTGACATCCTTTGGTGGATGCAGCACGTGCCGAACCCTAACTGCAAACGTGTTGGTGAGGCTATCGTGCAGCGCGGCCATTATCATCAGAATCTGTCTTGTCTTGCTTTGCATGACAATCTTGCTTTTCTTCCAAAACGACAGAACGGTGTTTTCAGCATTTTCGCTTGCACACTTTGTTACATAGTAGCTTATTAATGTACGTACAGTGCTGACGAGGATGACGTCCTTGGCATTTCTAAATATCATTTTATAAAAGCTAAGAGAGCAAATCTTTGAATTTTCTGAGCTCTGTCTCTGCCCATGAACGAGAAGTTTTTGATTGAAGATTTACTAAGCTAGCATTCATGCAATAAATATGCATATCAATATCTCTCTCCATACCTTAATTGGTCGATTTCTACAGACTTTCCAGCAACGTAGTGGACAATTGCTCTTTCCGAGGCTTACTACAAGGATGGAAAGAAGCAGAAGGCTGATCAGCAAGAAGTTCATTGCTTCTGTCGAGTTGAAGATTTACGAATGCTAAGAGCGCATTTTTACTCACTTATATACTGCTAGGTTTATTGAACCGCATTAAACGAGAAAGTGCCGTTATATCGCATATTGTCTTATTCATGCGATCATTGATGTCTTAGACGTCATACATGGTGATTTCTGTGATTTCTACCATCGACAAGGAAACTTCGAAGACGGAGTACCTTCATGTAATTAACATCTTGCTGGTGATAAAATAACTCTTGTGAGAAACTCGGGGAGGTAGTTTTGCTGAATTGAAAAAGACAGATTTTGTGCGTAGTCGAGTTGTGCTCATTAGAAATTAGCTAGCATGTCCGCCCTCGTTCGCATCGAAAATTTAACTGGCGGAATGAAAGTGGGATAACTGCTTTGTCGAAGAGGATAACATGATACAATCTCAGATCCACGCACAATTTTTGAGAAGAAGAAAAAGTGTACTACCTGCTTGGCTTTTGCTTTTACATACTTTGGTAGGAAGTATAACGTTTCCAAAACATTTAAATTTTTTGTGCTTCTTTGTCCTTGTTAGGATCGTTATTTGTGCCCGAAAGAGAATAAGTATGGTAGGTGTACTGTATGAAAGTCAGAGGTTTATCAAATCGATTAGCTTTAGCAATAGCATTAACAGCATCTGCACCGTTAATCTGGAAGGCAAGGTTCCCATCTCATTGGCACAAAGTAGTACCCTCTGTTTCGTTAGGAGTGATGGGGCTCGTGCGGCTCGAATCCCGCGCGGCCGCTCACCTGGGCTATACTCCTCCTTCGCTGCGTGCTGTCTAGTCATTTCTTCATAATTAGGCTCGGAATTTCTTACGTTCTCGAGGAAAATGATCGGAGAGCAGCGAAAGAGGTGCAGAGCCCAAGCAGGGCACTGCACAGGTGGCTTAGCAAGCAAGCTGGATATCGTTTTTGGGGAAAAAGCAAAGGGGATATCGTTATTGCGGAAGAGCATAACGTTGTCTCTCGATCGCGGCCGGCAAGCTGCCGCCATGCCGCCAGCAAATAAACAAAGGGTTTGTTTACAGCGAAGTGAAGATGAAATGACACCAAAATAGGTGTGTAGATGGGCAATGGGGAGTTAGGATTAAGTATGAAAAATTATGAAAAAATTATGTGAACTAAAGGCGTGCTCAACCTTTTTCGGAGTTAGGTGGCTTTCGAGCCACCTGGATAGCCACCTGAGGTGGCTTAGAAAAGAAAAAGTCATAAATTTCCTCCCTCACATAATTTTCCTACTTTCTTTACATACTTTTCATCTACATCCCAAACCCTACAAACTGGTTCCTAAACCGCATCAAATCCCCTTCTCCGCGCTTAGTTATAGCCTCTTGAAATTTTGAATGGCGGCGGAAAGGCTGCTCTAGGCGCGTATTGCTGCACGATGGATACATCATGCCGCCAATCCGGAGAATATGAATATCATCGCGTGTGTTCGATGATTCTTTTTCGTTCTTTCCTACTGTTGCTTTGTTCCGTTCCTTTTCATGTATTTTCTCTTCGAATATATCGTGCCGGATGTCGTACTTTCATTGAAGTCAAAGGGGACTTCATTTTTTGCAATTTCGGGACGCCACCTCGTGCTGGGCCCTGGTCTAGGGTCAAAGGGGACTTCGTAAAAAAACGAAAAGTCAAGGGGGACTTCGTTTTTTGGATTTTCAGCTAGCCACTTCGTGCCGAGCCCTGAGCCCAAGCGAGGCAGTCGCGCATGACACGAGCCGCAGCCGTCCATATCAACTCCTAATGAGACAGAGGGTAAGGCAAGTGGATACGCGGTGTATAATCTGGTTATTGGCTCCATTTGCTGCAGTTTTTGAGCTTCTGAGAAAAAAAAACCAGATGTGGCTTCCGTCAGTGGGTCCAAGCTACACTAGAAAATCTTTCGTGGCTCATAATTTCTTTGATACCAATAAGAGGCTATTAGCATTTTTTTGCTGCTAAGTCTTTGCTGTCTCAACCTTGCATTCACTGCATATAACTATATATCGCTAGTTGTTGGTGGGAATTAATAAAGACATCTTGAGAAGGCTTTCTCATAAAATTTGCTCTTCCATTTACAATCATTGACTCACACATACCATGATATGCGGAAGCGCTCACAAGCCTGTTTTTGGTCAAACTCACTTAGGCAAACATCGCGTTACTCAAACCAGCCTTTTATGACATCTAAGGATTGAAAAAGTGTTCAGCAGCCTCGTTTGATAACGTCAGGCTAGCATAAACACTCAACATCAGAGATCTGAACATATGCTCCTTTGAACAGTGGGAATTTTATGTTTATGATAAGTGACAAAAGTTCTTTAGTAATCAAAAATAGCAGGGGACGTAGTTTTGTGAAGAGCCGCCTTGACCAGACTGTTGAGAGGAACTTTTTCTAATAAGTCTTTTTCCATTCGTCTTCTTCGCTGTTGATGGGACCACCATGTGACGTATTGAGTATCAAAGACTTCGTGGGCGAAATTACATGAGACATAGCAGAACTAGTCCGTTCAGCGTGCTAGATAACTTGCAGTATATAAGTGAGCAGAGCTTGTGCATATCAGCATTGGTAGTCCGACAGCCTGCAGGAAAAATGAACTTCCTGCTGATAAGTCTTCTGCTCTTTTCCATACTTGGAGTAGGTCTGGGGATAACTTGTAAACAACGTTGTACGAATAAGTGCCGGACGGTAAGTACCAATTTCATATTCAGTTATTGATGTCAGCTCGAAAGATTCTTGAGCCAGTATCGTTTTCATCCGCAAGTATGGCAACTCCAAATTCAGGAGATTTGAAAGGAGTTTTCTCGTGGTTCAAATGTTAATTATTCAGAGATGCGGGCATGCTTCTCGCTGTGGGGGTATCAGTACAACTTGCCAAATACAATGCATGCGAAGATGTAGAGGCCGTCAATAGTCGTTGAGAGAGGATTAAGCCTGATTGCAGATTCCACTTCTCAGCTTTTCATCTTGTTGTGGCTTTTTAAAGGACTTGCAACGCACTCGGCTACTACATAGTTGCAGTTATTGATTGGATAAATATCCGTGTTGAATTTCCTTTTGTACGTTCATGTCAAAAGACAAGGTTGATAGAGGATAGTTCAAATTGAGCATATGTTTACAAACACTTTAGAGTACTCAAATTGCTCGCACAACATCCAACTTGGCACTCATATGTGTAATGAAAGTTACTTAGAAAATTACATAAAACATTAAGTCACTTATGGCTACGAATATATAGGTTGGGTAAAAAGGTCGGTCGTTTCTAACGGTTTGAAAAATTTCACAAGTTGATTCTAGTATGCTTAGTAGCATTGGAAAGAGCAAGTTATGGAGAATCGGTCTGCCAATGCGTTTGAGCGACAATTATTATTTTGACAACGAAATTGTGTAGGAAAGTAGAATAGTCGGATTTCTTCATCAAACTTTTGAAAAATCGTGCTCCGAGAAACGAACTGGAGTTGGGTGGCTAATGCACAGGTTAGCACCAACAAATTTTTAAATTCTCAACAATTTGCCGGACCATGGTTGCTGGTTGACTACAAGCAGTCTGGATCGGCAAAAAAAAAATGTCTTCCACGCGCCTGGAAATTCTTACAATTTTTGCTGCAGAAATTCACAAACAGCAGCCACAATCTGC